CATCATCATCATCATCATCATCATCATCATCATCATCATCATCATCAAAACCCGTTAGGCACCCCGACATTCTCGGTGGCTCCGAGTAGAAGATACAGATTCAGCTTAGCGGAACTTGCAAGCTTGGACTTACATGAACGAAACTCACAAAGTCTCATGAATAATTGTCCGTTTGGATTTGCCAGACTTTTGAACCTCCACTCCAGCGAAACACGATAAAACCCCTCCAAAGCTATCCTTTTCAAGAGTTCTGGCTCCGTTTGCCCACGACTCCCATTTGTTCGCTTCTCTTGCACTAAGATTGCGGTTGAGATGGGCCCAACCTCTTGTGTCTCCATCTCAGCCGGACGTGGTTTGCAGACGGAATGACCAGCGAGTGGTGACAAACCAGTAGGCTTACTATTATTACCAATAACATATATGAACATATGTACAGTCTGTATATATATATATATACATATGTTTAGACCATGTGTGATGTGAAGCCGCATTTAGCTACTGAGGATCCAGAGAAGATGTCCAACCGATGCCAATCCAATGTGAGAGGAGATTCTGAACCGATGCCAACTCCAAGGTTTGGGTCATTTGCCTGGCAGGGGGCCTTAGATGGCCTGAGTGCTTTGGGAAAATCAGTGATCGAAAGCGTGCAAGCAGCTTAGCTTGAGAGTGTCAAAAAGGTTGAGGAGAGTCCAAGGCAAAAACACTCAGTTGGCCCTCGCAGCCTGTCAACCTGCCAACTTTCCTGAGATCATGGCAGCGATTTGGCGGTCCAAGAAGCTGTTCGCGGCAATGATCATCTATCAAGGCAAGCGAGGGAGAACATTGAATTTTTGCTCCGAGAACCACCGGAGGAATTTCATGACAGAATGGAATTCGTAACTGTACGGAGAGGGCAATGCGGAGAGAAAAACAAGAGAGATAGAGGGAGAGGGAGAGAGAGACATGGAGAGGTAAGATGTGGGTGTGGATCAAGAAAGCCAATAACATTGCACAGATTGATCGCACTGGTAGTTAGACTGGAAGAGCCATGGGCACAAGACAACTTCCCGTAAAGATGGGCATAAACAGGATCTGTAATATATATATATATAAATGGACGTATATTTGACAGCCAACACATTCATACAGTTGATTCTCCATTGACGAGCACCATACATAAGAAAATGCTCGGACACGCCACTTGAGCTTGTCATCCCACGTATGGGAAGACTGGATAGAGGTGTGCGGCTTTGCTCCCCAGGTGATGCAGGCTATACTCCATCATCATCATCATCATCATCATCATCATCATGTATATGAGAATCATATATATATATATTATACAACTATATGATCATCAAGAATAGCATCATTCCCCGGAGCTTCAAGGAATTGGTAGTGCCATTTGCAGATACTTGTCCGGGCGCCAACCTGTCAGAAGTTTGGCCGTTATGGGGGGCGGGTTGGTGTTACACATGCAACAAGAAAGCCATTGGCTGCTTTTTGAACATCAAGCAGAAAGAACCAACTCCTGGTTAGCGGAAATGGAACACTCTTTGCAGGCATTCGAATTCAGAGAAAACTGGGTGTTAGTTAGTTTGTTTTTATCGTTATACTTCCGATACTTATATAAACATACTGTAGGTACACTAGTACACCCCCCGTATGGTGGATTCGTTTCAATTGGTTTCATTCCCACAGAGATTTTGTTGTCCTGCAGTTGAACTTCAAAGATTCTGGGCTGGAAAGTGCTGTGGGAGGTTCAGCAGCTGCGAAGTGGAGGGCAGAAACTTTGTAGAAGCGGTTCACAACAGCTCCGACAAAAAGGCAAAGAACATGCTGGAATAGTTTTCACAATGGCTCACACCTAGTTTCCAATTTGGATTATACGGATTGGCTTACTGTATATTTCTCACCACGCACGAGAAGACAAACTGGAGCCCGCTGCAGATGTTCCCTGAGAGAACAAGGCACAGGTCTCGCAAAGGATCAAGATTGGTTTACTGCTCGATGAGGCTTACATTTTTCTATCCATTCTGTGGTCATTGCAGTCGAGATGAGAGATGTAGCTTGTGTGTGTGCTTGGGTTATAAGTTATAAATGAGATTGTCTCATGCAACTGCACGACTAGCCTGACGAACCGTTCAACTCGCTGTGGACGCTGTGTTCATGGGATGGGGGCCGAAGCAAGCTGCTGCAAGAAAGAGGAGATCTTAGAGGTAACGAATGTGGTGCATCAGAAAGGAGACGAGGCAAGGCCGGTGTCGTCACAGGACAAAGGCCGGTATATAACGGTATGAATCTGGTCGCCTCGGGCCTTCACTAATCCCGGCTCACAACTCCAATATTTAACCAAACTCCAATCCCTTGTGGAATCCTGAGTGCTTTCCAATGGCTTTTCTTCCATATCTTCAGCCCATCTCTTCATAAGTTAAGAATCTGATCTTGCTCTTGATTTGGCCGCAAATCACCCAGAATCCCAAACCCACTTCCAGAAAAGAAGTGTTCTTTGATGCAATTCTTTAAAACACCTACCAAAAATACATGTTCAAGCTTCCATAACCCCTCCATTCGTCACCACCCCGAATTCATTTGGTCTCTCCCCAGCCTTGGAAATAGTATCCCATAGTTTATGATTTGCCTAATCAAGTATAATAGATTCACCACACAAAACAATTCATGAACAGATTTACTGTAGTCTTGGGGATCACTCCTCATCAATAGATTTAGTCTTTGGGGCCTTCCTTCTCAAACCACTTTGTAGTCCCCTTGTACGTGGACCAGAAGAAGCACCGCAAACGTGTTTGTCAAGTTTGTGCTATTTCTTATACTGGACCACAGCGGTGACATTCCAATGTTTGACCCCATTACCAGTAGGTCCTCATCATTAGGTCCATCCTTGGGTTTACAGACCGTCCTGATGTGTGTTTTTTCAGACCTGTCGGGTTTTGAGCTTGTTTGGCCCGCTTCTGGAGGGAGGCTGTCGGAGAGACTCCACACTGATGTTGAAACCTGAACCTGTGTGAACCTGTTTTGGTGCCAGGACGTACCAGATTCGCCAGATCCCAGAGATCCTTTTGCAGTCCTGGGCCCACAGGGCACATCTCAGCCTTCGCTTCACAGTCAGATCTCTGTCCTCACGGAGGTGCCAAGCCTTCGCGTCTGGGCACAACAGTTGGGTGGGAGGGAATCAGGATGAATTCGGAGTCCTAGGAGGTCAGTGAACCTCATTCATTAAAACCTTTGCAGGGGTAAAGAGAGAGAGAGAGAGAGAGAATATATATATAATATATATATATACATGTATATCCTTTCATGCTAATCTTGACATTACATTTAAAAAAGGTTTGGTAATCTAGAAATGTGACATGAAATAGACTTTATGGGGACAAGGTGTGTCGCATCTCAGCTCAGGAGCAGATCAGGATCTGATGCGTGGGATCTCGCTACACAAATCTCTCAGGAAGTTTGGCCGAGCATCCTGTCATAGACACACATCATAAACCATGGACATGAGCAGACGAGTTTAACCTAGTTTCTCTTAAATTTTGGGCATGGCTACACTTGTCGGGAGCTTCGGAATGAATGTGCCTCCGAGCGTCTATCATGTTTTCTACGATGGTTGTTGCATTGTATAATGTGCAGTATATGTGCATTTGTATGTTTTCACACCGGATAAGCAAATCCAAGGTGTGGAGGACGAAACCCAGCAGATTGACAGAAGGAGATCATCAAGTGCTCTCGAAGGTTTGTGTCAAGGACCCGCCCAGTCCTGGTGTGAAGATTCTTTTAGATGTTGTGCGTTTGTTGGCAAAAGAACAAGGAATCTTTGGACCAATCCTTCCGAAATTGAAGGATGTGCGACAGTCTATTAGTCTATCGGCACCTTGTTCATTTGGTTCCAACGCTTTGATCCAATACGGCTGGCGGCGGCCCTTTCTTTGGCCGGAGGTTGATCACTTCGATGTGTTCATCTCGCACACCTGGGAGACCAATGGCCGATGGACGCGCGGCTGCAGAGGGAAGCAGAACTGTAAAGCAAATCAGGGGGGTGACTCCCGAAGGTTTGCAATAACTGTTGATTTCTCCGGTTCCCTAAGGGTGTAGCCAACAATCCAGATTTGGCACACAGACAGACACATCATGACACATCTTTGAAAGAGCTTTAGACAGCTGATTGTAGATTATTTAGGGCGGACAATGGTCGTGATAATCAGACATTGACATAGATCGAGGCAAACTCCATCAATTGATCAAGATACCTCGTTTCGCTGGCAGATTGTTCTTGTTGCTTGCAGGTCAACTGGTCGGCATGGTAAACCTGTATTGCACAGGGAAAGGATCACGTGTGATCAATGAACGCTTCGCTCAGGAAGATTTTGGCCATGATGCTGCAGCAAGGATGGCCTTACATGATTATCTTGTGGCTGGTGTATAGCGCGTTAGCTGGGAGCCTGTTTTTGTACACCGACCTGCTACCGTACAACTCTGTCTTTCCGATCCAGTCCTTCAACTGGTCAGGCAGGTGATGATGGATGACGCGGAAGGATATAACAAGCAAGCGCAGCCTCTTCTACCTTTGTTCGTTATATAATGTTTATGATTCTTCAACACCGATGATGTTTTCCTGGGCACTATGTCATGACCAAGTCACCACGCGCTGCCAGTGCGTTGCGCGTAGGTTGGGGCGTGCTTGGGTGCTGGATGCGAGTGAGCGGCTTGCTGGGAATGGTCACTGGCCTTTTCATGGCCCCATACTGGCCTCGATGTCGTTCCACTTTGGCCTTTGTGGACGTGGCAGCTGGCTCAGAACAGGGAGAGGTTGAGAGAGAGAGAGAGAGAAAGAAAGAAAGAAAGAAAGACAGAAAGAAAGAAGAAAACAAAAGGGGGGTATAGCTTGCAGGTGGATTCAGAGTTTGAAGTTCGAATGAATGGGGAGCCTGAATCTGAGGTGAGCATTGATCAAATTGATCCAGAGATGACACGCCGCGGGGTCTATGGTTTCTATCATGTGCTTAATTAAGGTTTCTGTTTTTAATGTTGCACTTGATGTTTGGGGAGGTGGTAGGCAACTGGCCGGCTATTTGTAGTTGTGGTGATAGTGGTATCTTCTTTTTTCTGTGGACGTGTTGTTTCAATGAGACCTTGTCACTGTTACCCTACTCTCCGGCTCAAAGCTTGGAGATCTCGTTCAGAGTTCAGAGTTGATTAAGTGAAGAAAGGCGAGAGGCATCAAATGAAGGAGTTCTTGCAAACTAGCCTAGCTGGCAGTGGCGACGGTCATGACCTCCTGGTTCAGAACTGCTTCAATCAAGTGGCATGGCAAAGTCATGCAAAGTCCATTAAGAGCACGGTCACCAGGATATATGTTGTGGATTTGAATGTTGCTTTTCCCGGAATCAGAAGATTGCTATTTTTGGAGTTGTTTTTTCCAAGCTGTGTTGCTTTGTGCTTCGTTTCGGCAAAGGATTGGGCGGTTTTTTGTCACATTCCTCTGAGCTTCGAGTGCTTTGGAGCCCACAGTCCCTCGGCCTCGGCGCGAGAAGTCTTGTCAATGTTCACCACGTCTTGGTGTAGGCAGTACTGAACCAAAGAGCTTTGGGCCTCCAAAATTGCATAGGTGAGAGGTTCAGCAGCAGTGTTCAAGCCCACGTTTGAACCTCGCTAGTTGGCTTGAACATCGAACTCGCATCGCACAGCTGACCCCATACGCACCTTGATTATCCAAATGCCCAACCCTAAGGTCATAAGTCTAAGTAGGGCGGCATATCCTGCTTACAACTGGGTGATGTCGAAGTCGGTACTTCTCACTTCGGTGATGCTTGCCGTTTTTGTTTCGGTCCCACACAGACCGAGGCTTTTTTCTCGGCTTTGGTGCATCTTCGAGCTTGCGGCCTTCCGGAAGGCGAATCCCAAAGGCAAGATCGTACTGGCTCCACTGCTCCCTGGCGAGCGGAGGAGTGGCGAGCGTGGAGTTCCCAGAATCGAAGCAATTCGCAGGAGGCTCCAGACCTTTTGGAACCCCTTGTTTAAAAAAGTTGGCCGGTTAGATTATATAGGCTTCACCTGGTGAGTGGCTTTTGCATAAACTTTGAAGTCGACTTCTTCATTCTTTTGAGCTAAAGGATATGCATCGGAAAAATATGGGAAAATGATGGGCATCAACACTCTGAGTAGTAGGCAAAATCTATACCTTAAAGATCCTTAAAGCCAGGGACGACTCTTTCTTAGTTCGTTGGTGTATTTGCATGAGTTTAACTGTGTCCAATTGAAACTGAAAGTCCTCCAGTCTCAATGGAACCATGTCTCCAGATCTGCAGAGGCATATTGTAATCCCCTTGTTGTTTTGTGCAAATTGTGCCACCAATTTGTTACCATGGTTATCCTGTCCGGGTGTGTTTCTAGAACGGAATCCGGTCTTTTTGCACTCATTGTTCGCTCAGTTCATCACTCAGTTCGCTCATTCTAAAGGCTTCCAAAGTACCTTTGGCTGCGCCCACAATTAAAATCCTTGAGAAGCTATAGAAGTTGGTGGCAAGGCCCTCGCCCGATGGGATGTTCAACTTTTACCTCGCTGGGTGAAGCCTGGCGGTGATCTGAGCATCATTACCAAGTGCCAAGGTATGTGGAAATGATCGTTGGGTTTCTGCTGCTTTGGCTCCTCGACAAAGACTGGGAAGAGGAAAGCATGCGAGGGACAGTCAAGATTAATCAAAATTGTCCTCGTACACCAGCATGTGAACAACTACTTGGCACGCAGAGACTTCTCGGAAAGGTTGGCGGAGAACGCCGAACAGAGATTAATGTTAACTGGACTGATTGACGAATAGAGACTCTCCTACCTGGATGGTCAAGCATCTCGCGAGAAAATGAAAACACCCATGATTTGCAAGTGAACTTCACGCGTTGCTTTCGAGGATACCCAGGAGCAGCATTTTTGAACTGAACCCGTCATTTTCAGGTATTTAGATAGATCATAGATCCATGGTAATACGTTTTGCGCACCTGTGCCACTGATGCCCGGTGCAGCACACTGTTTTTGCAGAGGCTGGCCTTTATGCAGCTTCTCTACTTCTTGCTCCTTCAGGCCCCTTTGCCCAAACCTAGCCAATAATTGGCAGGGTGGATTTCCTGCTGGAAGATTTAAGACTTAAGACATCAAGGGAAGCACGCCTGAGTGGGCAGTCTCGCATGGAGTGTCATGCGTTGGGTATGTTGCCGGTCTAGGTGTGTGTGTGTGTGTGTGTGCGTGCGTGTGTTCATTATTCATGCCAGTGACCTTCGAACAAAGGACATACTCGTACCTCCCAGGAGAATCAATTAGAGAAGCTAACAGACCAACCTATAGAGTAATTTCCCCAACCACTGCTGGCAGTTTTCATGGTGCTTGTAGGTTACTTTGGGGCAGTGGGGATTGCCTGTTGTAGCTTTTTGTCTCTTGTGCATGCTTTGTGAAACCTTTCCAGACCAGTCGCATCCAGTCGCCAGGTCCTGCAATTCTCTTCTTTCATCTCCTTCGTGGGAATGGTGCCGGTCATCCCTTGTATCCACCAGACGCGGAAGATTTGTCGTGAGAAGCGGCGACTCTTGAATGAGCTCAAACAGTTCAACTTGAACGAAGCAGGCCGCGCGGGCCGGGCCAGTGCGTCGATGCGATGGAATTCTCCTTGTCGGCAGTGGCGGGACCTCGGGCTCCAAGTCACGGTGCACGAACTTGTGCATGGATAGTCCGGGCCGGTCCGGGCGGGCCAGGCCGGTCCACTGCGGTCCTTCCATTCTGTATCGGCCCTTGGTGGAATCCACCAAACCACACCTCAAATCGGTTGCCGGGTACACCACCGCGCCGGTGGCGTAAGGAGACCACCTGACGCAGTGGGCAAAGGAAGAATCTATGCATATTAAACCATATTAAACCCTTTTTGGCCCTCACTCGATCACAAAGGGTTTACATCCTGATCCAAACCCCAAACCGAAGGGTATGAATATCAATCGACCAAAAAGGGTTTAATCAAAACTAAACCCCAAGTACAGCTCCGTAGACTGACAACAGTAGAAAGGGGTTTATTCGCACAGACTAAAAACACTTTGCCGATCCCTCCTCCAACATGTTTGTGGATACATCTTGATGCATAGATTCTTCCTTTGCCCACTGCGTCAGCTGGCCTCCTGACGGCTGTGCCAGGGAAGGGAGTTCGCACGGGCCGGGCTGGGCGCCGGCCCGGGCCGGGGTCAACGGTAGACCCGGCTATCCATGTTGTGGGTACCCTAGGCCTTGAGAAGACCCACCTCCTCCTCAAGTTTTCAAGACCTGCAGGTTTTGGTCTAGATATGTCTAGAGTATAGATGTTTTCTTGTTGTGTGTTTTTATGGCCAATGGGTGAACAGGGTGAACCCTCTATTGATCCATCTCCATACGAAGACTTTGGCGGTTTCATTGGTGGAGCACAGCGAGCGAGCGAGCCATACAGTTGGATTTACGATCACCCGCTGAAAAGCACTGTCCACTGTCGACTGCCGGGCCCTAAGCCTAAGCCCTATAGGGCTTTCCAAGAAAGTTTTTCTCGGGCTTTTTCCAAGGTGAGCCATGCCGGTTGATATTGTTTGAGATTCTCAAGCACTGTACATGTTTGTGGTGGGAAAGTCGGAATTGCAGAGCAGTACCAACTGAACAAAGCGAGGGCTTTGCATTGCAAGAGATATCGGTATCCTTTTGCCAAGTTTACGGCTTTGAGTAAATTGGGGCCTGTAGTGCACGCTGGAACGAGAATCAAGTGAGAATCACGAAGTCCATCGGAGAATTGTTTGGTTTTACATCTCAATTCACCCCGAACGGACTGCAACACAGCTTATCACTATAGCTGCAAGAAGCAACCATTGATTGTCGCAGGCTGCAGCGTCGATTTCGATCGGAACTTCATTTTGGCTGGAATCGAAGAGTGGTATGGCACGCAGGAGGCGTTCACCGAATACGTGGCTTAACTTACCACGGCATATGGGAGGGGCATCCTCAGCATTCTGAAGTAATTAGCGAGATCCTTCTCAATGTTGCATTCCCCACGGCAGCTTTTGAAGCAATCCGCCAAACAATGAAGCAACAATCACAAAGCCGCACAAAAGCGGCAAGTAAAGCAAAAAGAACAAAAAAAACACACACACACACATAAATGCGAAGCGTTTATAGATGAACAAGGAAAGGCAGATAGGCAGGAAAAAAGGCACAGAAAAGACAACACTTATTAGTGTTTTGTGCACTATTCTTGCAACAGTTCTCGCGTCCTTTTCACACTTGTTCAATCTTGTTCATGTTCTGTTGTATTGTTGTTTGTTTGTCCGGTGTATTTTTCCGATATTTTTGTTTAGTAGTGTGTGGCATACTTGTGCTATTGCCCTATGCAACCTGCTGGCCCAATTCAACCCACTCAATATCATTTGAATCGAGCTGACTGATGAAAGTTTGTTTATATCCATTCGCTGTTGTGATGTTTTCGTGGTGATTCCATATCCTACCATCGATATTGTTGGGGCCCTTTTTCTCGAGATCAGAACAGATACAGTACAATTACAACGAAAGGAGTTCAAAGACATCCACCCAGTCAAAACTGGACGTGTAGGCGTTGAGTTTCTCGATCATGAACAATGTGGCATGTGGATGCATGTGGCATGTTACAAAAGGTAAAACGCCGGTTGGTGGTTGTACACTGTTCACTGAGAAGTTCTAAGGCGACTTATAAACCTGTTCTCTACAGTCCGATGCTACTTTCCCTTTATCTTGACCAAACGCGACCGCATTTCGGGACACCATGTGTTCTGATGGCTTCGTACCCAACTGTAAAGTGTTTGCCCAACAGCAGGTCTGCCATGACATCCTAAAGCTCCATGGCCATCGATGATCAAAGTGAAAAGTCTTACAACTACACGTTCAGTTTTGCTTCTGCAGCCAAAGGCGGGCCTTATTGACCCACAAAATACCATTAGATTGATTAGATGAATGAACAGCTAGTGCGCAACAGTCATCCATTGATTTTGGAAAGTTTGAAAGTGACTACTCACTAGTTTTGGCCATGACCCAGTTCTGGCATGTTCTGGGTGAAAAATCACAGCCCCACAAGCCAATTCCAAAACGGGCCTACAAAAGAAAGATGGTCTTCGCAACACTGACGCTATGCTGATGCCAAGCTTCCCACTGACGCTTCAGGTCCGAGGCCCTCTCTTTCGTGAGCTGGTGGCACCCTTGGAGACGCTTCGGGTCCCTGTGCAGTACTGGGCCACTCAGAACGAAAGGGAAAAATGACCCGAACAAAAACCGATCGGTTTTCTGGTTTCAGACGGGCGGTCATGTGCGCGGAAAAACCGTGGGGGCGACAGGTGCACGTGATAGACATGTTATGGAGAATATGTGTGGTTACAATCTTTTTGCAGGATACAGAGCTGCATAGAGCTGCCAAGTATGATGTGGTTTGACGGTCGACTTGAACTGTCCTGAGGTCAATCTATTCGAGAATGAGGCAATATACTGTATTCTTTTGAGTTGTGAGTTTTGCAAGAGGTCGGTTTGCAGGACTCAACTTGCGCAAGGTATACAGGGCATACGTACTGGCATGTAGTGGGCATATGAATGATTGAACGTGGATTGAAGCTGTTTTTGGCGGTAGCTTCAGTCACGAAACGTGAAGCCGCTACGATCCCTCAAGCCAACCTGCTGGAATCCACCCCAACTTGTACCAGGATGGCCCAAATGGCCTGATTCTGCATGGAAATTGAATGAAATTGACACACCATGTCGTGCAGAAGCGTAGTTTTACAATGTTTGCTTCGTCCTCCATGACATGCTGAGGTCTTGTTGGGCCTCCATGAAATGAGCTCACTGCTGGAGTTCACCGTGGGCTACATGAGTGGTGGTGCTCCAGTCTCTTGGTCCTCCAGCCAACCGGGTGGGACAGGCCACGCACAGATGGGTTGATCCTCCAGGCCATGCAGGGGGACGCACGGGGTTGCAGATGTTGAACAGCTGATCTTCGATGAGACATGCAGCCATAACGATGAGAGCTAAGGTGGACGTTGTACTTGCTCAATTCTTGAGTTGGCCCATCAGCAACGTTCTTTGGCGCATCATTTCGTTTCGTTTGGGTCTATTTCTGTGTGATCGATGTAGCAGTCGAATGCCTGGTGCTTGTGGTTTGCTGGACTTCATGAAGACATTCTTAATTTGGGTCGTGACGCTTGGCTGCGCCAATAAAGTTCAACTGAAGTTTTGGACACGTGGGGACATGTGGGGCAAGATTTCGACCTCGTTTGGATGCGCGGACTTGCGGACTGTCTCGCTCGCGCCCACACCTCACCTTGCCGGGCTTTCCGGGGGGTCTGGGTGGGTGTACTCCGGTGACACCAGTGACCAAATGAAAGTATATACATCTGACCAAATGGATGTGAGAGCGTGCCCAATTCCGTTTAATACTCCTTGACTCCTTGTCAATAACTTTATCAGATCCGACACCAGACAAATGCCGTGCACAGGACGGTGGTGTTCCTCCTCAGCACTTTTGAAGTGACAGCGGTGGTTGAAAGATCAAGCTTGGTGGTCGCGAGTGCTGGAGCCTGCGTAACAATTGCGGTCGCGCTCTTCTCTCTTTGGGCCGCGACGGGATGATCAGATCGAAAGTAGGTTAAGAATGACCGAGTCCAGAGAATGCAGGCAGCTAAGCTGCTGAGCATCAGACTGGAAGCTCGCCAAAAGGGCGAGAGAAATGCTTCTATGGATTTGATTGCTTTTGCTTTATTCCTTCCGAAAGTTTTTCCCTTCGGGCATTGCTTGACTTGAGGTTTCACGGCAGCTGATCATCCATTCTCGCGCAAAAGCAAGCTCTCCGTCTCAGAAACCATGATCACATCCATCGCTGGGTGAATTTTTCAGAACACGTTACCACCAGCGTGCGCTAAAACTAAATATTTCACTGTATTCTTGCATATCTAGTAGACTAGTGCAAAAACACTATATTTCAGTGAGTGTATTATACTAAATGCTTCAGTGTCTTCAGTGTCACATAACCAAATTCCAAAAAAACCAAAAAACAAAAAAAACAAAAAAACTAAAAAAAACAAAAAAACAAAAAACAACCCAACCAACCCAAGACCCTCTGCAATCCATGAGTCTGTTTTTTTTTTGGTTTTTCAACAGGTTTTGGACACTGCACTCAGGAAAACAGTTTCTTTGTGAGCATCTGTGAGCTGTGAGCATCTGTGAGCGTCTGCTTACAATCAATGCACTGCACAAAAACGATAGACAACCTCACACAGAACAAAACTTCAAAGCCTTGACAAAACCCAGCTAAACAAAAAGAACAAAACTGCGCCCCCATGAACCATCCCAAGACTTCAGACATGGGGTGTGCTTTTTTGGTTTTCTCGAGGTTAAAGAGAAAACAAAAAACAAAACTGCAGACCCCATGAACCATCCCAAGACTTCAGACATGGGGTGCGCAGCTGTTTTTTTCGTTTTTTCTAGTTTTCTCGAGATTCTGAAGAAAAAAATCTGCAGCTTCAGACATGGGGTGTGCATTTGTTGTTTTCTCGAGGTTCTGGAGAAAACCAAAAAAGCAAAAACACAAAACTGCAGACCCCATGAACTCCAGTTCACTTCTAACCGATTCTAACCGTGCTCTAAGTAAAACAAGTCGAGTTCAATCATACTTATTTATTGGAAGTTTGTTTAGGTTTGAATTGCATAATCAAGTTTTGATTTATGTTTGTCAGTTTTTGTAATTGAGTTGTAGTTTAAGCTAGTTTATGTTTTATACAGTTCAAACTCAATTGTTGTATATACACGTTGAATTTAATTCCTATTTTGATTTCCAACTTAATGATGATCAATTCTAATTTGATTTTGATTCGGTTCTAGTTCAATGCAAATTTAGTTCTAGTTCAATGCAAATTGAATTCTAATTCAACTCTGATTTCATTGTAGAAAGTGGGTGTTACTGGGGGCGTGATTTTAAGAAAACAACTTTTAGGGAAATACCATATATTATTTACAAAGCTTTTCATTCGAAAAGCAACACACTCTCTAGAAGAAAGTTTGAATTGCATTAAGCACACAGTTAGATTGTGTAAAACGCTAGAATTACATTAGGTTTATACTCTCGACTAGTGACAAAGGAGTTGTAAAACGTATGGTGGGTTTTACAACTCCTTTGTCATGGGTCTTAAAGCATTTTTGAGCAATGTACACAACTCCTATGTCATGGACTTTAAAGTAGAGAAACGCATCAAAACATGGTCACACAAGAATAGCTTTAAAAAAACAGAAAGCTGCCGGAAAAGATTAATAAATGACGTGAGATAGGAGTTGTAAGTACCAGGAGGCATGATGAAACATGATGAGCAGGCCGATTCTTATGTCATTTGTTCTGTGTGCATCAATTCCCCTCCCTCCCTGAAAACAAATAAGTAAAATGCTTGATCATCAGCTGGCGACAATTCCCAAGTCATGAGGCTTGAATCAGCAACTTTGCAATACTATGTCACTGGCCCACACAAGTCCTAAGTCACCGGTCGGTAGTATAAACATAAACTGCATAGAAATAAAACGGAAAATATGCAAACCATGAATTAGACTTAGATTTACATTGAATTCCAGCTCAAAAATATATATATATATGGGTTTTAATCATTACCAACATTCAATCGAATGATAAACAAAATAGAAAAACATCGAATTACAATAGATTTGAATCAGTTTGATTTTGATTTCAATTACAATTGAATTTCATTTAGGATTTGCAACTCTTGACCTTCTGACTCTGATGTGCTTAGCAAACTGCGTTCAATAAGAGCTACACAATTCATAAGATATCTTTAACAACAGTTTTGCGTGTGATTTGCGTGGAATTGAATTACATATAAGTTATTAAAGAAAATACTTAATTCAAATGTTTAGCACTTAGTTAAATATCAAACTACTTGCCAGCTACAAATACGGCAAAACCTTACAGCATCACAACTTTTACACTCCTATCAATGTCATATGATCAACAAAGACATCAAAACCTTGCAAAATCACAACTTTCACAACTCCACCACCTTTTTAATTTTATGTCATCTTTCTATTTTTCCTCCTACGCTATATTTTTTGCTGTTTTGAAACACATGAACCCGTTAAAAAAGCGCAGGCTCACAGTGACGAGCTCTCGAATTTTTCAGGTGATGTCCAAATATTAGTTATTAGCTTCAGCTTCTCACCCAACTGTTCTTAGCCCAAAGATTCAGCATGATTCAGCCTAAATGCCAAGAGCCTACTGTATATATATATATATGTTATATGTATCGTTAAGATCAAGATGGCAGGGAATGCCAGGGTTTGTGCGATCGTCAAGCCACATGTATTTCAAGCGTGCTTGACATGAATGGAAACGCTGCCAACCTAATTAAGAGTTCTCGATCATTTGTGTCATGTTATATCATTTTATTCATGTTTGAAGATTCATGAGCCACACAGCTCCTCACGTTCGCAGGTCCTCAAAAGGCCAATCGTTCGCCCAGATCGTTCGCCCAGACTTCCTGGCCGTTCGTGGTTTTTCCTGACGCTTTAGCGGCCAAGGGCCGGGACCAATCCCACACGCTTCTTCCTGGGTCACGTGCTGGTGGCAGTACCTTGGTGACACCGTACCGGAGACAGTTGGAGGGCAGTTGGGTGCTAAAATCCCATGTGGGATCATGTGGGTTTCGTTAGCTAGCGAGTCCCTGTGTGATTTGATTAGGTGTCCAATAATTTTGCTGCATCTAGATGATCATAGATGTTGTTCCAGGGCTGTTCCTCTCGTTTTGGTCAGGGGAAAGAGGCCACCAGCTGGAACATCTCTTGGGTACTTCTTGCGACCGGCCACCAACCACATTGTGTGTATTTGTTTGTCATAGGTTGTCACATGCAGGGCCCAGCTAGCTGATGAACTGGTGGTGGTGAGGAAGCTAATCAAGGAGCCGGGGGTATGCATATTCCGCTTACTTCAAACAGGGAGCCAAGGAGCTACAAGGAGTTCCCTAGCCACCTGCGATGGCCTCCACCCTACTAGGGATGGCCCCCAACCTAATCGCCAACTTTTTTCGGGCTTTTGCGGCTTGCCTATGATTTTCGCACCACTGTTGACTTGGTGATGTTTCTCATGCCTTCCTTGAAGGAGCCTGAACAAGTCCCACGCTACAATGCACCAGGAGAATTCACCACAACATGAGCCTTTGGGTGAAAAAGAGCGTCATGTTCCAAACCCCTTTATGGGCTGCTGTGCTTTTTCTCCAGGAGGGTAGGTAGGCGCATGCTAGGTTTGCATTTTGATCGCTTCAGGTTTGCCTCGTGACGCTCACAGGTTTGTCAAATGATCGCCGTGCATGGCGCAACTCCCACAGACACAGAAGCAGCAGCATGAACGCCCAGACAAGCAGAGCATGGCTGCCTTATGCTATCTTATGCTCCTTTTCTCAGGCCAAATCTTAACTTGAAGGATACAGAGGAACATATATAATTCAGCACCTATTTTGATAACTAGACCGTTTTTGTTGCTCATGTGCTTTGTTTCCTGGGCCGGTCTTTTCTGATAAGAAGCATGGGTGTTGTGAAGGAAAGCACAGGGGGGGAAATCAAAGTCCAACTCTCGAGCAGCCTGGCGCTTGAGCAGCCAATCGGCGCTTTTTGGTTCGGATGGACGGCTGGAGCAAATGCAGTTATATAGTAGATGACACAAACTCATAGACCTTAGCCACAAAGATGGTGATCCCTTTGTAGAAACCAGAAACCGCAGCATAGGAGGACTTTGCCACCTGTAGTGATGCCTGCAGCTTTCCAACGTGTCATCATGCCATGTCGTCCTCTTCCTCCTACAGCAGTTCCTCCAGCGGGGCAGCTGGTACCTTAGTTCGTCCTTTCTTGGTGCCCGACGATGCCCGACGGGAGCTGCGGAAGGCCCTCAAGGACGCCGAAGTCCCATGTCATGTGCGGCTTGCGGCACATGAATGCTCCCAGTAGCGTCCTTGCTCCTAGTAGTAAGGCCAGGAGCCCCTAGTGGTTTCTTGTTCCTAGTAGTAACGCCAGGAGCCCCTAGTAGCGTCCTTGCTCCTAGTAGCGATGCCCTTTGCTCCTAGTAGTGTCTTGTTCCTAGAAGGTGACGGGTCGAATCACTCGGGGCGACGAGGTGACGGGTCGAAGCTGGACGTGAAATCGTTGGCAGGAGCACAGCTTGCCCCTGGAGCGGCGTCATGGTTACGTGAGGCGCAAGTGGCAAATGGCAGGGTCCTGCAGGATTATTGGGCTCAGGTAGAGCCAGGTATGACTTAATTAGGTCAAACTGTCCACCTCAGAAGTGGTGATTCCTGCCTTCTACGTTTTCGTCGCGATCCAAAGATAAACCCGCCATTGTTCGTCCTTCTTTCACCGTTCCGTTCGTTGGGCGGTGCCACCGTGGCAGGCCCTGCCCTTTGCTGCCCTCTGGACGGCAATGTATTTTGAAGGACTTGGGGGAGTGTGGAGACACCAAGTGCGGCAACTATCGGCTGGGAAAATATGCCGCTGTCCGGCCAGACTTCCTGCAGTTTTGCGTGGATGCCTGCCTTACTTGGGCTTGTGACAAGGGGCAGGGAGACGACACAAAATTCAGAGAAGTAGCGGTGCCCTTGTTAATAGTAGCTTCTTGCTCCTAGTAGCTTCTTACTCCTAGTAGTAAGGCCAGGACCCCCTAGTTGGGAACATCATTGAGCATCACCTTGAAGGAAGTGGGGGCCGCGACACGTGACAGAGAATGCTGGAGAAGAAGTGCACACCGGTCCTTCATAGTCAGTCTAGAGTTTGCACATGTTCCAAGTGTATGCGTGTGCGATCGTGTGCGTTCAGCAACTGCGTGAATGGTTCATTGATATTGAGTATAATCTACATTCACATACTGTCATCACATACTTTGATTCTTGCTGTGGTCAATCATCAGGGAAACCATCATTGGCAGGAACCGTTTTCTTCCCTAGCCCCTCCACATTGGATTCTACTCGTACCAAGCCAGTTCGGACATCCAACTTAAACTGCTTCGGAGCTTGGGACTTGAAAACATGTCACTCTTAGTGTTCGTTACGAGTCGTGGGCCGACGACGCACTGTCACTCCGGAGTTTTTCTTCGTTTCAACGTTGACCTGGGACGTCATCTCAAATGCCTCGTCGCTTCGATATTGAATATTGCCCGCCACTCGACTGGGCCCGATTTGCCGGTCGAACTGGGCCTGGTTTGCCGGTGTCGCCCTAGGAACACATCAAGCGCCAGCTTCACCAGCGTCATGAGCTGGTTTACTGCTCGCTGGGCAGTGGCCAACTGCTGTTTGATTGGGAGCTTTTGGAGCGACTCACTCAGAGGCTTCGGCTTCAGGTTTTGGATGGATGACCTTCCTGATGGCGGACATGGACCCTCAACATCCCTCAACCAAAAGGTTCCCTGGAAGACCAACACGATCCTCTCGCTCCTTGTAGCCCTTCCTCTACGTGGGGTGCTCAAGGGCGACTTTTGGGAACCAATGTCAATTTGCAACAGTTCATGCCACAAGCCATCGCTATTATATAGGTTTGGAGGCCATCGCTATCAGGTCAGAGGCCATCACTATTAAGTTGGAGGCCATTGCTAGTAGGTTGGAGGCCATGGCTAATAGAAACACATACAAAGAGGTCAGGGGATGTCAGTGCGGCTTTGTGGACAGGTTTCCCTCTTCGGAGACCGGATCCATTGTGCCATAGTTCTTTTTTGAGGGGGTTCATTCCTTCCTCTCCGTCCGACGCAGCTGGCTTGTGGGATGGAAACACCAAACTTGCGTCCCAGACCGGACCAGTGGTTGGTGTCCTTCATCTCCGTCCATTTTGAGGAAAGAGAAGCTCCGCATTCGGGCCATCCACCTCATCGATACGGCGTACGGGGGTGAGAAGTTCCGCAAGAGCGCGGCCCGCGCGCAGCGCCTTTTTGCTGGTTGGTTCCAGGAGTGGAAGAACAAACAAGAGATTAGAAAAACGAAGGCATGGGCTCCTTGAATAAGGCCCCATTACTTAAAGGGGACCCTTAACTTACATGTAAGTTTAATTATTGCAATTTGCGTGTCAATGCCTAGGAATTTTGGTGCACTGCACTTCACGTGGCAGGCGCGGTACTTTGGAGCCCGTAATGCGATATTTCGTGGCAGGTGCAGCATCGCTGTTTGGGAGTTGAAATCCTGGCTGGCGCCTGCTCCTGGCACTCACGCTTTTTGAAGAAGTCCTTGTACTGCAAGGGTCATACTATAATAAGAGTTATAATCAGCTATATTATATTGTATATTTGCGCTTTCATTCTTCAGACCTTTGGAGGTATTTGTTCCTAGTAGCGTCCGTGCTCCTAGTAGCGATGCCAGGAGCTCCTAGTAGCTTCTTGTTCCTAGTAGCGATGCCCTTTGCTCCTAGTAGTGTGCTTTCATTCTTCAGACCTTGGGTTTGGTTGGGGCCCGGCTCGAACTCCGGTCATGCTTGAACGACGTTCCCGCGCCGTTTGCTGCGGGCACGTAGCTTCACAAACAGAGAAAGTCTCGTCACGTCATTTTTCCTGACTCCAGGAGTGCGCTTGGGAGAAGGATGGTCAAGGGCCCTGCCCTGTCAGGAGCTTCCTTTCAGCCAAGGAGTTTCAGCTACTAGGCCCTAGGCGTTGATGCTGGGGGTTCAGCAAGATGGACCCACAATGTAATTTTCGTAATTTGGGAACCTCCTTGCTGTGCAAGTCTACTGGCCACAACGCAGGAAACGATGCCAAGAAATTTGGCAACATACAGTTCACCATTAACACAGTATGCTTACGACGGGGAAAAACATGTTGCGTCACAAAACTGGGTATGTTGCGTTTTGGTTTGTGGGACCCAGAGCCTTTTTTCTACTTCAAGATGGAAGCTACATATGGAAACCACGGGCATTTTCGACCTGGTTTGTTGTTACGGTTCCACACTTACGTAGACAGTCGCGACGCACCCATCGCAACTTGAAATCCATCACAATGGACCTTCCACGCTGGTCTCACACAACTTGGAGGGCACGGCTGTTTGTCCGCGGTCCTGTGGACCCTGTGACCCTCGTAGAGCACACAGGTTGTTGGTTCATGGTGCTGTTTCTTTGGTGGGGACACCCGGTTTTCCTGCAATTCGTCCTGGAATTGGTAGGGCTGCGAGTGGTCATGGGTTTTTTCTGAGGCGCTGGAGCTCTCAGCAGGGCGAAGCTTGGGCTTAGTGATGTTTTTGTTGGAGATTTGAAGGAATTCGATAACGAGACAAGAACCAACTGGTCGGATATGGGGAACAACTACTACCCTTCCCTTTCATGAAACTTGTAACACATACCTGTTTTTGTACCTTGTTTCTTTGAGGTTCGGTCCACCCAAACGAACTCAGGAACAGGTGGACATTTTGATGGACTGTGATGCGGTGAGCGCCCGAAAACCCATCGACGTGGACCTGTTCCGCCAGAGTGTGCTCTCTGCGGGCGGCCTTTGCCTGGTGCCCACGGACGTCGTGGGAGAATGGACCGGTCGGGCGGAAGTCAGTGATTGACCACATTCTGTGTTTGGAGGTGGTTTTGGAGCGGAAACTTCGTGGAAACTTGGAGGCATCTCCAGAAATGACCGTGGAAGAAAAATCCTACCCATCCAAGAAACCCTGAAGACTCGAAGGCTTGCATTAGCTGGCAGAAACTCTTCGCCAAGATAATGAACACCCCATGAGAATGGTAAGCTTCAAAACGACACGGTCTCTCCTATCGAAGTTTTATTTAGACGTGTTGGCAGACCATGCAAACAGCGGACTCACAACTTAGCTTTGATTTGGAACCATATCCGTCATAACGAAGCGGACTTGAATAGCTTTCGTGAGTAGCTGGCTCAAATCCTCGATGCAGCCAAAGAGGGAACAATTTTGAGCTGCTTTACCCAGGTTGAAACCTGGACTTCGAAAGAAAATCCATTCTCTAATTTGCATTTGTCCTATGATATTCCGGTATACTGATGGGCATAAGGGGCGCCTACGGGTGCGGCAATTATAATTATATGTCCTTTTGACTTACTGTAGTTTTACGTTTTGTCTCACCCCCGTACCTATGGCACGGAAGAAGAGTAAAAGAGTTTTGATCACCCAAACCAACTCGCGATCGATCCATCCATCCGCCCCTCAACAGCCCTTCCACTAAGTGGGGTGCTTTAATATGCACCCACAGAAGAATATGGAACAAAACGTGCGACCACCCAGCATCGCTACCCCTACCCGTAAAAGACTCTGTATGCACTCACATGTCAATTGCAAAATCAGGTTTGTCAGCGGTTGCTCATGGTGAAGGAAGTTTGACCCATTGACCCAAGCTTTGAAGACTACTGTATATTTTAAAAAAGCCTAGGGGCCTAGGGATTTTGCCAGGTATGGCCAGGGCATCGACAGTTCCTTTACCCAGAATTCCAGATGATGATCCTCCGGAGTTCTGTCTATGCCGAAGCAAAGTCGAAACTGTGTTTTTTTGTGTGCTGTTTTGGACGAGGTGCTGTCGAACCCGGCCAAGCGGATTTGCATCCGGAAGTCGAAGAAGAGAAAGGACAGGGCACCACAGATTACAGCACATTGAAGTCTCCTCCAGGTGCCTCCTACCATTGGCACAGAATATGTTACAATGTGTTAATGTCCAGTCATCTTACATCATGTTATAATATGTTATAATCATGTTTCTTGGAGACTTCCCTCGTTCGACAAGGTCCTCCCTCGTTCTACTCTTTTAAACCACGGCCCCACGCTCCAAGATGCCCTTGATTGCACATATTGAAAGCCTACGGATTTTTTTGGTCGAGTCAACGGTACCCATTTCACCGCACGGGCAAACACCTCCGGGAGGCCCGCTAATTGAAATGTGTTTCTTTTTAATAAGTTTGTTGGAAGGTAACGTTCACAGAAACCATTAGAATTGTGCACACATTTTTTTAATACAGGTTTGACGGTCCAAGACAGACTCCAAGGGGCATCCGGGGGATTATACACTGACTGTTCTATACATCCATGTTCTAGTTCTATCCATCCCCGGCTCCTGGTGTGATCCCGGTCCGCCAGGACTTGAAGGAGTTGGTCCGCCAGATCTATCGAAATGAGGTCTGGCAGGAACCGCGCGAGGACGCACATGGGTCGAAGCGCCGGTCGAAGCGGTCCAGTGAGAAGCGCAGCGAACAACGCAGCGCACGCAGCCGGACCCGAGAACGTGAGAGGCACGCAGCAAAAGGCGAAGAAAACCTGTGGCAGGTTGGAGTCCTGCAGGAGTTTGCTGTTTTGGAGTTGCTGTATGGGACTGTGCTGGTGCAGTGCAGTTTGGAGAGGCTCATTTCCAGTCTTACTTGCTGTCTACCTATACGTGCTCGTTTATCGATATGCACGGATTCTGAATTACTTCTTCGTCAACACTCTACGAGCAAAATCAGCAGGTTGATAATTGGATGGGTTGATTTGCCTCTTTGTGTTCGAGGTGGAAGGTTTGAAAATGAGAAACTGCAGTATTATGCAGTATTATTAATTAACCAGCAGCCACCGTTTTCTTTTGATTCGTGAGCAGAACCTGCCGCCTAGCCAAGGCAGCTCTCGTACACTATCTACCCTGACCCACGAGGCCAAGGGTTTTGTGGATGGTTTTGGGCGGAGCTTCAGGGTTGAAAAGTAAGATCAGTTGATTGTGAAGTAGATGGTCCACGCATTTTTCACATGGCGAGGTTCTTGGCCGGTTTCAGTACTCAGTTCGGTGATTTTAGAGGCGATTGTTGCCTCGGAAAGCAGGCTTGAAGTCCACAGCCAGGTCACCAGCAATCACTGTTGAAGTGGCAGTTCTGGCTGGAGTCCCGCTGACATGAACAAATAGGAGCAAAACAAGTGACCATCCAACTTTGCTGCAAGTTTGCCGAAGCTGTGAGTCCTGAAAATGCATGATTTGGGCTTCATGTGCATCCAGGAGTGGCTGCATTAATTCACACGATTTGGCCAGGCTTCAACAACGCTGGGCGACAGCAATGATCACCGAGTTGGTTCGTGTTGGTTCAGGAGCTGTGATTGACTTTTAGTGTTCATGGCAAGTTTTCTTTGTGTTTTTTGTTGATTTGCTTCATTCAGTATGCTCCATGACGTTTATTCCTTGTACTGGTACTTGGACTTGATGTGCACATGTTTGATTCAGCGGTGGTGGTGGTTGGTGGTGGCGGTTTTATTCTCCTATTGATCACATGAACCCCATGTTTATTGGCTTTTGTGCAAACGCCTGCCACTTCAGCGACTACACTATATACTTATTTGTATTCAGACTCGCTAAGTAATGAGTAATGCCTTCTGTTGAAGATAGTTGATGGTAGCCTCTTCGTTGGATACATTATACAATACAAGTTCAGTTCTGCTACATGTATATTATATGTTTTTGCGTCCGGCAAGCGAGGCCTTTGTGCAATGAATGGTTGTGAGCTATGAACCGATGAAAGCTAAGACTAAGACTTTTTTAAAGGAGTGGTTTCGGAGCGCATGAGCCTTGGGAGGAATGTCAACCAGCCTAGTTCGCTCTCACAGTTTCTGATGGTGGTTCATGGTGGTTCCATATGGGGCCACGGCCAGGGCTCACATTGGCACAGAAGAGCAGGTTGGCAGAAGAGAGTTGACGCAAACTAGTATCTCTACTCAGAGGCAAGTAGCAACAGACTGCAGGCCAAACGCAAATGCTGTAGACTGAATTTTGGTGATATAAGCTGAGCTGCTGACTGTGCCTGGTGCATGGATCCTTTTCAATCCTGATGTGCCTGCGATGAAACAGATCCTTGGTCACGAAACAACCGGGGAACAAGCCTTCAAGGTGGTTCCCCGGTTTCATCGTGGCATCGAGGGATCTTTTCCGGCGATGCTCCTGCTTGACACGAACATCAGAAGGTTTGCTGAACCCATCGACCAGTTTTCAAAAAGGATGGTGTAGAAGCTCAAGTGAGGGTTCGACATGAAACCTTTGTGCTTCGCTAGTCAATAACGTGGTTCCATATTCTAACCCCACATGACTATTTGGGTTTAACATGATTTAAGTGTGTATAAGGGACCTCCCAACCAATTGCTTGTGCATGTTTGATGTTCTTAGCAGTCTTTGGGGCACCTCCCTAGTCTAATGCTACACACGAAAGTTCAAGTGTTGTTCCAAGAATCGGAGAAGACGTCGGGCGCACCACCTCGGGCCTTCAACTGTTCCTCTTGCAGACTTCCTGTGCCCCTTCGCCATCAAAAGGTTTTGGCGAAAAAGTGCGGAAAGGAAGTTTGCACATGAGGGTTGATCTACGCGATGGGAGGACTAAGCAAGCAAGTAGCTGCTACTTGACATGCTCAGGTTCTCAAAAAAGAGACAAGAGTTTTGTTGAATCAGCGATTGCAAGGCATGCATATGACGGCGTACGACCAGCGACGCCCCTTCTTTCCAGTGGGCCATTCCCACAGGGAAAGAGGAATTCAGATCAACTCTCAAGTATAACATTTGATTAAATATAGCTTGGAGGTGCAGAGCAGTCCCAGGCCTTTTTGCTGGCCTGGAGGCGAAAAGGTGTCCTTTTGCGGAACGGAAGGAATATAATGGAATGTGTGTATGAAGATGTGCACGGCAACAGCCTAAAAGTGTTTGTCACTGTTTTACCGCATGTACTTAGAATTCTGAAATCACTTGCTACCTGGTGTGGAGGACAACCCAACATATGAGAATGCTTCAGTCTATGCTTTTAAACATGTTTTGCGCCATGCCTGCAGTCTATGTTCATCGCATTCACAAAGGTGTTTTGTGCGATCAGAATTCCACACCAAAAATAGATCTTATGTATATGATATATATAATATTGTTTTGTATGCAGTTATATGCAGTTGCATTTAAGGGCGGAAATCCAACTGCACTGCAGATGTGGTACATACACATGAATATGATATGTAATTAATGTAGGACTCCATTCTCATGGCCTGGCTACAAGTCAAGAGGCGCAACCTGCTTAACGCCAATTCACTGCAGTGACGTTTTGAGCAACGCCACTAGCCTAGTTGCAGTGTTTCTGTGAATTGCGGTTTGTAGCTCGAAATTTGTTCGACTGTGAAGGATATTGCAGCTGAGCATGCTACCAGGTGCTTCAAGTAGCGCTGGCACTGGGCATTTCCCAATCAAAGAGGTCACTGCATGTCCACATATATTGGTGATTCCCTTCTGGTTTTCGCAAGGGGTTTGCATGGGTGCACGTGCCAGATGTCCTGGACGTGAAGTCTGGGCGTGGACACCTGAAGTGGACACCTCTTTGCGCATACTTCTATCCGAGAGACACCAAAACAGGAGGGGCTAGGCGCCATGGACTGGAGAGCGGATGATCACGTTATGGGTCTCGCTGCCTGGATTTGGTGAGGTTTCTTGTTGAACTTCTCACAGTCAAGAAGTGGCCTGCGTGTTTTAATTTTCGGGGATGTGATCTTTTAATACAAGTTCTTTCCATCTTCTGCCCAGTGTGGCGATTGATTTTGGGAGAGGTAATTGCACCCGCCATTTGCAGTTCAGCCCAGCCTGCGGCAGCTGAAGCCCTTGGAGCCCTAGCCCTTGGGGCCCTGGCCCTGGCCAGGTGCTGTTCCACGCAGCACTAGCGGCCGCATGGCAGCTTCAGAGACCACTTTTGAGCAACCATGGCATGCATCAGAAGGTTGTTGATCTATTCATGTCCATGTAAAGGTTGGTACCGAAGGGTCATCATGTTCCAATTGGCCCCACGTGACAACAAGGGATGGCCAAGGCCTTGACCCACAATCATTCGGACTGTTCGCCAATCAGTGGGGGAAGCCCTTGCGCGTGGAGAATGAGCGGAAAGAAGAGCACCAGGAACCAATCCAAATGGACGACGACGAAGATGTGTCAACATCTCAAACTTGTTGATGCCGTAGCCTTTGCTAGTGGCATTATATAAGAGGGACTTCAACTGGAATACCTGGATGACTTAACCCTCCCTAAATTAACAGATCTTAAGAGATAGGCAACGATTGCGGTGACAGCTTTGCCCTCGAGACCGAGAAAGGAGCAATCACCGCCACCAAGGCCCAAGAGAACGCGACCTGCGTGGATTTGCTCTCTTTGCCACCGGAAGACGAGCCGGAACAACAGCACATGGGGAGACGGTCGAACCAGGTGGACTATGGTGGACTAAGAGTGTTCAAACAACTCAAACTCATGGGAGCTTCCAAGGTTGGGTGAAGAGCGTCGCGCTGAACACAGGGAACCTCGGTTCGTAGAACAAGACACGATTTGAAGACCAACTTGAAGAGAGTGTTTGCAAATTCTGTGTGCTTGATCAACTCCCTTGCCCCACAATGATGCCACAAGATCATGCTTAGCGCCCAACGGCTGTTGGAAGAGAAATCCGTTGGGCCCAAGCAGTGGATAACATGGATCACTTGTGCGCAGCCTGAAACGACATGCCTCCACCAAGCTCCAATGCTGCTTCAGGTCCAACCGGTGCTATCGCGGCGATTGCACATGTCAAGTCTCAGTCGAAGAGGCTGTCGCCTCAGGATTTCTAGGATCTTCTCCCAGGACCATCCGTTCAGGGTGCCCGATGGACGTCCAGTGTATATGAGGATGTGCAGGTAGTCCATTGGACATCCTGAACGGATTGTCCTGGCATGATGAGTCGGTTGCCGGCGTTCAAAACCCACTGAGTCAGCATCCCACAAGCTGGGATTTAAAAACAGCGGATCGAAGGGACTTGCTTTTTGCTTATAGTTACAGTTGCTTATTTAAATTTTTGTAGTGACATGTTGTCACCGCTCCCTGCTCCAGATCCCCAAAACTGAGAAATCCATGCACAAGATTCCCCATTGCAAATCTGTCGCCTGTTCGCAGCAGCGTCACTGCTCAGCGTCCTTCGGCACCCGCTAACCAAGGTGCTTTGGCTGGTGCTCAAGCCCGCAGACGATGGCTCCGCCGGACTCGAGCCGCGGACTTCGACCAACAAAGAGAGAGAGAGAGAAGAGTTTCTATGGAAACCAGCCCACTGGTGAGAGTGCGGAATAGTGTCCAAATGTGTCCAATCAGTGGGATGGTTTCCGAGGATTTTGGGGACTGGAAGTGTTCTGTTTGGATGGCCCAATTAGAATGCACATGAAGAAAGCAAAAGCCAGAAGATCAGCCAACAGCAGCGGTCAGCGGGAATAGCTTGTTGTATCTTGTTTTGTTGTTTCTGGATACTTGTGTGAACATCATGAAACCATATGAAGCCAATCAGCGATGACTACATCCACGGAGAATCATGCTTGCTCCTGAACCAGTTGGCTCGGAAGAGCTTTTGAGAGCCCATGAACGCCCAGATGTGAAAAAGCTCTTCCCCTGCCGCCGACGCCGACGGGGTGTGGCAGAGTACCCAAGGCACAGCGCCAGATCCTTGACCCCGACCTTGGGGCAATGGATCGATCAAGCCTTTGCCTTCCTAGAAGGCCCAGCCCGGTTCGGACTCTT